AGATGGGCACAAATTGCAAAATACGAAATTGAATGAGCCATAGTTCATTCAAAAAGGGAGGTCAAGGGTATAAAAAGTGTAAGAGGGTTTGAGTGTATGGGCCTTAGTTTACGAGAATTTTGCATGCAAAGAGTTAAGCGTGCGGCCAGCTGTACGTTAAGTAACATAAATAAGTTAGACTCAGCGTGAAGCATCATGGCTGCGGCCTAAGGCGCGCGCCCTGTAATTTTTGGCGTCTATTGCGAGTTCGAACCCTCGCAGTGGCAACTTTTTTTTTTATTATAACGACTATATTTATCAACTGAATTAATTGTTCTTATTTTTTGGAATAAAATATTAATAATAACGACGCAATTAATTAATTATATATAATAAAACTAAGAACGGGAATTTCTGTACTTCTTTATGTTTATTATTTTATGTTTATTTATCGTGTTTTTATTTATTATAAATTTCGGACATTGCTGTACACTGTTGTGGATAGAAATTAATATAAAAATATTGGAAACATAAATGGATTGCATCAACTGTACGTGGGCAACAATCCATTTGTGTTAATTGTTGATTCCTGGAAAGGTCAAAAAATAAACGTGTAGAACGCCAATTTTATAAATGATGAAAATAAGCCGACATGTAACTTGCAATTTATATCTCCAAAGTGCACTCCGATTTGCCAACCTTGCGATGTCTATTTTTTTAGACAAAGTCAAACTTATACTATATTAAATGAATTCAAAACTGTCCAGATATTCTTATTGATGGAGAAAAGAAGGAATTTAATTCTCGATATGATGCAATAAGAATTTAATCATTAACGCATTATTTATTATGTTCTCCAAAATTTAAAACTATGATACAATTTGCTTGGTACGCCTCAAAGGTGGCAAAGGAACGCGACATTTTTTACATTGTTAATCAATTATGTTTTCCTGTAAACATACATAATTTCAAATGTTGGTGTACAAAGAATTATTCTTTTATAAAATGTCCGTAGTGTGCAATCCATTTATGTTTTCAATATTTTTATATTAATTTCCATCCACAACAATGTACAGCAATGTCAGAAATTTATAATAAATAAAAACACGATGAATAAACATAAAAAAGTACAGAAATTCCCGTTCTTAGTTTTATTATATATAATTAATTAATTGCGTCGTTATTATTAATATTTTATTCCAAAAAATAAGAACAATTAATTCAGTTGATAAATATAGTCGTTATAATAAAAAAAAAAGTTGCCACTGCGAGGGTTCGAACTCGCAATAGACGCCAAAAATTACAAAGCGCGCGCCTTAGGCCGCAGCCACGATGCTTCACGCTGAGTCTAACTTATTTATGTTACTTAACGTACAGCTGGCCGCACGCTTAACTCTTTGCATGCAAAATTCTCGTAAACTAAGGCCCATGTACTCAAACCCTTTTATACTTTTTATACCCTCGATCTCCCCTTTTGAATGAACAATGGCTCATTCAATTTCGTATTTCGCAATTCGTGTCCACCCTTTGTTAATGCTGAGCTGAAATTTTAAAGTAGTTGCTGTGTATTTGCTGAAAACATGATGCATAGTCATACGTAATCGACAACACGAAGGCAAATTTGAGACATTGTGTGTCAGCAGATTCAGAGCAAACAAAGAGCAACTATTGCCCATTACGTTGTCAACAAAATGACTTTTATTCATAGAAAACTCTTTGCTTTGTCATTCGTTTTCGACAACATAAGAGCAACATGACGGTAACAAAACAAGACACCGATGTCTGTTCTTCTGTCGTATGGTTAGTAAAAACTGTTGACATATATTTATTTTATCTTGTAGCCCGTTAAATGTCGAAAACGAATGACCATTTTTTAGAATAAGTAGACAAAAATAATTATATTTTAGTAAAGAACATGTGGTCTCGCGGACTGAGTGCAGAGATTGCAAATACAGTAGAACCTCCCAAAACGTATACAGTCGGAACCGACGAACCTCCCAAAATGTATACTTCCCCTATTCCCTCACTCTTTACCTAACCTAACGCATGCGCAAAGACTTACTTGGTATAAATTCATCTCGCGCGTTATTTAAAAGCAATTTCCTGCTTTGAACATGAACTTTGAAAGTATATAAATTTTTAATAATCTAGTACAAATTATTATATTTAAAAGTAAATAAAATTTTGAAACAGGATTGTAAATTAAGACTAAGTTAATCAATACTTACTGAGAACAGTAATATATTATCATATTTATTGAAAAATAACAAGTTAGATTTTATTCTGAACAAAAACATTTAAAAAATTAGTAATTCAAATTAAGGTTTTACCATATTATTACTATTAAAATCTCAATTTTTAATAACACTACATTAGTCAAGAATAATAAAAAATTACATGTTATCTATAAGTTATTAACAAGTACAAGAAATAACAATAAATCTATAAATTCACTAAACAAAAATATTTGCAACATTAATAACATAAAATAATCTTATGAAATAAAGTGTATTAAAGCCTTAATATCACATTTATCTTATTATCACATTGATTNCTATTAAATAATAATATTAAGTCTCTATGTGATATCAGTAATTAAGTCTTAATATNACATTTACATATCTCTATGTGACTAGTCGCAAGTACAAAAATATAAGTGTCAATAATTTATATAGTCNATAAATCGAAAAATCTATAAATCTATAAATTGACTGAATAAAAACATTTGCAACATTAGTAATAAAATCTTATGAAATAAAGTATTAAAGTCTTAATATATTACATTTATCTTAATGTGACTAGTGAATGATTAATTGTTNAATGTTAGAACGATATTTTTCTAACATAAGTACGTCCTCAGCAGTACAATACATACAAGTTTGGTAAAATTGTTGAAAAATATGTGCAGTCCATGCTTGCTCAAAAGTTAATTCTTGTTGAATAGATTCAATTATTTCTTCATTGTCTTTGTTAGGTGGTATTTCATAAAGAGATTCATCATCAAACTTTAATAGCTCTTCATCATTTAAAATTTGCCTGGATCATTATTATCGTATAACCACTGATCCGTACATTCTGCTGTTATTCCTT